ACTGGTTTGTAAAAGAGCTATGTTTTTACAAACCTACTAAAAACAATAATGATAAAATGAAGTGACTGTATATAAAATGTAAGATGTATGATTTTAATAGAAGAAAATAGGAAGCATGAAGATTCTCTTTTGTTGAGAGAAAAAAATGATCTTTTGAGATAAGGAAGTTATAAAGATATTTGAGGGGTTATTTTAGCTATTTGGGGATTTTTTTGTCTGTTGGTTTTTGTTGGGGTTGTGTGTGTGAAGAAAGAAAAAGGGAAGTAATTTTGTTTGTTGCAAAATAAGAAAAAAAATGATAGGTCAAAAATGATAGGTCAAAAAGTGAAAGGTAATGATAGGTCAAAAAGTGAAAGGTATTATGTATGTTCCAGAAGGTTGATGGAAGTTGTAGGAGGTTCATGGAGACAGGAACTTAAACAAATAATTAATATATGGTTAAACTAAGTTTTGAATGGATAACTAAGTCAATTGTATCATTTATATATGTATGAATATGAACTCTCACCAGATTTTTAATTGTAGCCATGTTTTAGTCTTTTATCATTTATAGAAAATTACTATTTTATTCTGATACTCTGGAGGGAAAAGTATCCCTCCAAATGTGTCTCATCTTCAAAGATTCATTAAAAAAAGAAAAACCTTGACAAACTATAAAATGCAGGTTTCTAATAACTTTAAAAACATTAGCACTGAAATAGATAAAATTTACACAACTCTAAGGAAAAACTGGATGCATAAAACTGCTAACAAAAAGATAAAGATCAATAAGAATTAATAAATGGGACTAAATGAACTGATAAGAATTATAATAATTTTATTATTTTATATGCAATATCATTGTTTTTTATCTTTGTCTTATCTATTCTAAGATACCTCTGACCTACAGCAATTTGATAAATTAGACATTTGTAAATAGAATAAAAACATTTATTTAAAAAATATATTTTCCTTCCCACCTGATCCCTCTCAAATTTCAGGTAATCTTAATGTGTGCACAAATTTAGAGATGTTGACTCTTGGATTCATGTTTCCCAATTTATTATTATTTTTTAAATCCTGACCTGAGGATATTTTTTCATTAATTTTTAGAGAGAGTGGAAGGGAGGGAGAGAGACACAGAGTGAGAGAGAAACATTGATGTGAGAGAGACACATCAATTGGTTGCCGTCTGCACACCAGGACCGGGGCTGGAGATTGAGCCTGCAACCCAGGTACATGCCCTTGATCAGAATAGAACCTGGGACCCTTAAGTCCTCAGGCCGAGACTCTATCCACTGAGCAAAACCAGCTAGGGCATGTTTCCCAATTTAAAGAAATTGCTTATACCTAATTTGAGGGCTCAACCAATATAGGATTTGAAATTTTAAAATTACTTGGAAATGAAGCAGATGACAGCTGTTGTGAACAACTAACTTAAGATTCCAGACTAGACCTGTATCATTTATATCTTCATATTTCCCTTATTTCCTTACTTTAACTCCTTCATATCTGATAAATAATATGAGGGCAAGCCCACACTTGAAGAATTATTGTTTTCTTTTTTTCCCTTTAATTTTTGACTGGGAAAGTAACTCAACATTGGACATCATCTTTTTGCTGTTGTTGTTAATCTTCACCTGAGGATATTTTTTCCATTGCTTTTCAGAGAGAATGGAAGGAAGGGAGGGGAGGAGAGAGAAAGAGAGAGAAACATCAATGTGAGTGAGATACATTGACTGGTTGCCTTCTGAACACGCCCCAACCAGTTGTGGGGAGTGACCCCACAACCCAGGTACGTGCCCTTGACCAGGAATTATAGAAATGTTTGCTGTTATAAAACTTTGTTTGCATAGTTTGATGGTATAGGCACACTCAGATAAGGGTTGCTTAGTGTTTTGAAATGACTACTCAGTCCTATGAGACTTCAGATGAGAAACTTCAAGGAACTACAGAAAATGTTTGCCCTTAAAGAAAAATGATGGAAAAGCCTTTCCTTTTTTCTGGTGCTCTTATTGCTCAAATGTGACCTAAGGTTCCAAAGAAAAAGAAAACCACTTCTCTGCTACATGGGACCTGCCATACCAGGAATGAGCCTTCCTGGTGATGAGGAACCAACAATGACAGGACATACTCAAAATGAGCCACCTGACAACAAAGAACCAATGACGCTTTAAATAACTGATCAATGCTATTTTCTGATGGATCAGTGATACTTTGAAGGAAATATCTTAATCAAAGGGGGAGTGGCGAATGTAAAAGAATAATAAATGGAGCTGGAGCTGCCATGCCAGAAGAACTGCTTTGCACATCTTATACCTCAAACAGTTGGAATGTTAAAACAGGGCAAAAAAAAGCTTTAGACTGGGCCTAAAGCAACACTGCATCCCAAAGAACTTTTTGCAAAGATAACAAGAAAGCAGATATTATGACTACCACACTAAAATTTTTAAAGACTGTTTGGAATTAGAGCCACTATGTTATGTCATCTGCACCAATAGAAATGCCACTCTTCTATTGATGTAATTATTCCTCTTTCCTTTCTCATAAATATCTTTGCCTTTGTTTCCTAATCAGAACATAATTTGGGTTCTGCCTATATGAATTCTTCCCAAATAGCTCTTCTTATTGATCTCAAATAAATGCTTATTTCCTCGCACTTTGGAACAATATCTTTAGGTTAACAATATCTATTTTAAATGGTTGTCTTAATGATCTAGTACTATATCTCCCAGTCTACTATATTTGTAGACTCTTTCTACAATGATTAATGTGTACATAATCATAATTCTGTAACTACTATTTACTGGTTTTCCATATTTGATTCAACATAGAAACAAATCACAAGAAGTTAGGAAAGGGATGAATAGTAGAAAAAGAAGAATATATACTAAATTCCTCATTTTTATTGCAAAATATCTGTAAATAACATCTAAAGTTAATATATCAAAAAATAAGGATTTCTGATATCAAGAAGCTAACCTGCCTTTCCTATAAGTATCACACCATTGGGTTACCAACTAATATATGTAGGAAGTTTCATTTTCAGTAGCTGGAGGTAACCCAGAAAATACAGAGATGGAATGATGGAATATCATAATTTTACAACTCATAATGAATTAATAGATCTTAGTATTTTCAGGTGATAGCAGAAAAATATAGAGGCAAATATCTGCTTCCATATAGGACAACTGCGCCATTATTGAATACTCTAGAAAATACATACATACATAAACAAACCTGAATTTGACCAAAGCTCTAGTAGCAACCACAAAACATTTAGAAGACAGAGCATGTTAAATGATATCTAGAAGACTCTCTATAAGACTGGGTGAGGGAGGAACCCACTTATTAACAAATAAATTACAAGCGGATGAAAGAGATTATAACAAACTTAGAGACTTATCCAATGACAGCAGTGTCAGCACCTTATCTGAATTCTGATTTGAAGAATCTTAAAAAGAGAGAAGGCAAGAGGGAAAAAAGAGAGTGAAATTGTGCATATATATTGGGGGTGGGGGAGATGGCCCAATCTGGACAAGAAGGCGTGGGAAATGGTGGAGCCATCCGATGGAAGGGGTCAAGTTCTTGAAACACTGTCTGAAGAAGAGCTGACCAGCAATGGGCCAAGTTTTAAGATGGGCTCCATGACTCCGGCTACCCTGGTCTACATGCCCATATAGTATCCTCTCCTGAGTGTGGGCAGGACCCGTGAATTTAATGGGCTACCCTCTCCCATGATTAGTTTACATTATGTAAGACTCTTATCAGAGCAGACGGGAGAGATTCTCCTGCTGGCTTGGAAGAGATAAACCACCCTGTTGTGAGAGGGCCATATGGCTAGGACCTCAGGGTGGAATCTAATCCCCAGCCAACAGCCTTCAAGAAAACAGGGAACCCCAATCCCACAGCTGTAAGGACTTGGATTCTTCCAACGACCTGAATGAGCACCCAGAGCCTTGATGAGATGACAGCCCCAGAAGACACCTCCATTTCAACCTGGTGAGATGCTGGGTAAAAGAGTCAGTTAAGCCCAGCCTATGTGGCTCAGTGGTTGAGCATTGGCCTATGAACCAGGAAGTCACCATTCGATTCCTGGTTAGGGCCCATGCTCAATCCCCAGTGTGGGGTGTGCAGGAGGCAGCCCATCAATGATTCTCTCTCATCATTGATGTTTCTATCCCTCCCTCTCCCTTCCTCTCTGAAATTTTATTTATATATATATATATATATATATATATATATATATATATATATATATATATATATACACATATATATATATATATATAGACTCAGTTACCCCAGTCCATAATAAATTTCTATTGACTTAAACCACTAAATTTGTGATCATTTGTAATGCAGCAATAGAAAACTAATACATGCCCCTTGACCATGAATACATCCTTTTAACTTTTATATAAGAAATAAACTGTTATTACGTTAAGCCACTGAAATCTAAGGGTGCATAGGAGTCACCCGGGAGATTTTATTAGAATGTAGATTCTAATTCTGCAAGTTTGGAGTTGGGCCTGCCTGAGATTCTGCACAGAGGACGAGGCTGCTAGCTGCTGTCAACGTCTAGGGTTTTGTTTTTTGTTTTGGGCTGTGCTAAGATGTGACATCACATGGTGTCCTCAATGCCTCCATCCCAGCACAGTTTCTTAGAAGAGAACCCCTTAATTGCCTGATACTCTCCCCTCTCCTTCAGACTTCAGACCTCTGCGCCCATCACCCTTTCCTCTGCTTCTCTTCCCACCCTTGCAGCCCCAGCCAGCAAAGCCAGTCTGCCGCCGCCTGGGGAGCCCAAAGGCACCCACACCTCCCTGCGCGAGAGCGCCCGAGAGGTGCTCCCAGACCACCTCTCCCTCTGATGGGAGACCTAGGACCCCCGCGGGACATCTCTGCTCCAGGTCCCTTCCCAGGGACACCCCTTGAAACACGCACCACCTCCAGCCCTACGTGGCCCCCACCCCACCTCCGGTACCTCCCATTCCTCACCCCGACTCGAAAACCCGGACCTGCTGCGTCCAAAGAACAGCTGGTTGGCGAGTCCCGCGGAAAGGGAGTGACAGAGAGGGGACCGTAGGCAGAGCACCAAAGAGGCTCAGGGCTTTGAGCTGAGTGGAGCCGCCTAGGCCACTCCTTTAACAACTATGGAGTAAGTTTCGCTTTCCTTTCTCACCTCAGAGGCATTTAAGTTTCGTTTCCCAGCATCGGGAATGGGGAGAGAGATTAGGGAGAGTGGGTTTTAGCGTCTTTCCCTTCCATCTGAGCCGTGTGAAAGATAGCAGAGGCAAAATGCATTCTTCGGAATTTGTACATAAATACAGGGAAAGGAGACAGACAAAGCTGGGACATCTTAAGCAAGGTAAAATCAAGTAAAGGTGGAATTTGAAAACGATGAAACATAAGACATTGGAATCTGAAACTCCACCATCAGATGTGGGGTCTTGCTGCTCCACCTTTATCAAAAAAAAAAAAAAAAAAAAAAAAACAGTGCATAACCATACATGAAGCATCTATTATGAGAAGCTCATGATTACTGTTCTGTGTGAACTATATTGGGAACTTTCCTGAGCCAAGAAACACCATTAAAAAATAAATTGAAAATGCAACATGCTTAACTTTTATTTCTGTCTTAATTGATGTAATTTTCACTTAATGTCTGCCTGTTGAGGGTTGCAATTTGTGTTTCAACACTAGCCTCTCTTTCTAGTGTCCTAAATTTCATGAATGCTGTAAATGTACAAATAGATGAGAATTCCAGCAAGTGGGATGTGGGGACAGCAGTGAGTTTTGAGTATTTTAGCAACAGTGGGAAGCCACAGCTGCTTTGTCTGCAGAAATGGTAAGTGCAGAGGTAGAGGCACTTGTTCCACAGGGAAAACAGAGAAGAGAGAGCGCAGTGAATGGCATACTTTCTGGTTCTAAATTGGTGAGCCAAGATGCTTGGTTGTTGTTGGTTTTGTTGTTGTTAATCCTCACTGGAGGATTTTTTCCCATTGATTTTGAGCGAGAGAGGAAGGGAGGGAGGGAGGAAGGGGAAGGGAGAGAGAGAGAGAGAGAGAGAGAGAGAGAGAGAGAGAGAGAGAGAGAGATGAGTGAGACACATGGATTGGTTGCCTCCCATACTCACTGGAACCTCCAACCAGTCTGAGATCAAACCTGCAACTCAGGTACATCCCCTCGCCTGGGAATGGAACCCACAGCCCTTCCGGGAGGTGGCTGATGTTCTAACCACTGAACAACACTGGCCAGGGCAGAGAGTCAAGTTGTTAAAATAAAAAGGTGGGGTTGGAGAGGGTGGCCATTTTTCACATCTATCATGCTTTCATTTATCCATTTGCAAATTTGGGCTGTTTGTTAATGATGACATTGAGAAAGAAAAGAAAGGAACTTAGAACTTGACACAGGGCAGGACTAAAGTTACACTACATTCATATCCATCCCTCATGAACTTCTCTAACGCACTTGCCTGTGGTAAGCTGAATAATGCCCTCTCATCCGCTCCAGCCAAGAAGTCAGTGTTCAATTCCTGGAATCTGTGAACATGTTAGCTTTCACAGCAGAAGGTACTTTGCAGAATAAACCAAATTCAGGATTTGAGATGAAGAGATTAGGACGGGTTGCCCAAGTGGACTCAAAGGGTCCTTATAAGAGGGAGGTGGGAGCAAAGGGTCAGGGAAGGCAATGTGAGGACAGAAGGAGTCAGTAACAGAATGCGATGGCTTTGAAGATGGAGGCAGGGGCCACAATGTAAGGAGTCAGGGGGTCTCTAGAAGCTGGAAGCGGCAAGGAAACGGATTCTCTTGTAGAGCCTCCAGAAGGAGCCAGCTCTGTTGACACCTTGACTTCAGTCCAGTGAGACTGATTTTGGACATCTGACCTTCAGAATTGTAAGAGAATAAGTTTGTGTCGTTTTAAGCTAGAGTTTGTTGTAAGTGCAGCAATGGGAAACAAATACACTATTGTGAATTAATAGAGCAAACTGATAGCAGCAGATAACAAAAGTAGCAATTTCATGATGGGTATGCTTTTATTTTTGTCCTTTTATAGATGAGACAAAGAAGGCTTAGAGGGATAACATAACTAATAAACGCTGCCAAGATTCAAAACCTGATCTAACCCAAAGGTCTATCTATGGTCTTTTCTATTACATGATCTCAGACAAATGCTTCATATTCTATAACTGAAAGTCTTTCACAAATGGACAAATAGCCCTAGCTGATTTGGCTCAGAGATTAGAGCATCAGCCCACTGACTGAATAGTTGAGGGTTCGATTCCAGTCAAGCTCACGTACCTCAGTTGCAGGCTCAATCCCCAAACCAATCTGGGTGCCTGCAGGAGGCAACACAACCAAGCAATGTGTCTCTCTCACATCGATGTTTCTCTCTGTCTCTGCCCCTTCCTCCCACTCTCTCTAAAAATCAATGAAAACAATATCATTGGGTGAGGATGAACAACAACAAAAACAGGACTAATAATTTTGTTTAGCTTTCTTTTTCAGTTAATTATTGAGATGTTAATTTTTAAGTGTACATAACGCTTATATGCTGGTTTCAATTTTTAATGAGAAGTGAAAACAATAAATATTGACTCAGTCTTTTCAATTTCTGACCCCCATATATTTAACCAACACACAAAATGTCTAGTCTAGATTTTCTTTTCCATTTCAATAAACTACCCCCTGAACACACCCTGGAGTTTGTCCAAATTTTTATCATCACAAACTCTATTTCTACTTTTCAGACTCCTCCCTTTTACTTCCTGCACTTCAGCCTCTTGGGACTTCTGAATGTTTTTCTTATCAGAATGACAACCATGAGTCAACAATTCAACCTTTCCCTAATTAACATGTTCAACTGCTTGAGCCTATAAACTGTCCTCTATCTTTCTTTCTTTCTTTTTTTTTTTTTTTTTTGCCTTTGAACACAGAGAAATGAACCAGTTTGTGTCCTTCAAACTATTTACAAATACATCTCATGCCTTTTTTTAAAAATTTTCCTCCAAGCTTTTGGAATATTTTCCAATAATGATTACAACCCTACAGAACTTTATATTTGCCTCAAGTTATTTCTAATAGAAGTTCTCTTTTTTAAATTCTCTCTTAATTTTATGATAACTCCATACAACATCCTTGCGCAGAGTCTGGGAAGAATACACCAGGGGCCACCCACACCCAACATAACTAACACCCTATAATCTGGATTTGGCTCCTCCTCAAGCATCTCAGTCCGTATTCTTCAGTATGTTGTATCTTCAACTTCACCCTGTCAATTAGAATGTATTGTTCATTCCACTGAAAGACTCAAGTCACTTCCACTTTAAAATAGGTCAATCAGAGAAAGATAAATATCACATGATCGCACTCATTTGTGGATTATCATGAACAACATAAACTGATGAACAAAATCAGATCCAGAGGCAGAGAAGCATCGATCAGATGCTCAAACCTCAGAAGGAAGGTAGGGGAGGGAGGGGGTAAGGGGTAGAGGTCAACCAAAGGACCTGTATGCATGCATATAAGCATAACCAATGGACATAGACACTAGGGGGGTGAGGGCATGAGTGAGGGTGTGTGGAGGGGAGGGGGGGAATAGGGAGATAAGGACACATATGTAATACCTTAATCAATAAAAAAACAAAACAAAGAAACCACTAACAAGTATAATTCCCTGCTCTGTGTCATCCCTTCTCTTTTTCACACAGTACCCTTTAGTGGTCTATGGCCATGGTCTACACTTCTTCACCCTACTCAAACCCTCAGACCCCTTTAGTCCAGATCTGCTCTGAAACTGTTCCATCAAAGATCACCAATGATGATCCAGGGACTGATATTGCCAAGCAATGCTTGTTTGGCCTATGATTTACTTACTTCTCTCTCTGAAATATTTGAAATATTTTTAACCAATCTCTTTCCCAACCAGCCTCTTCTCCCTTGATTTCTTCTTTAAATCTATTTCTCTTCCTACCTCCTCTATCCACATTACTGGCACCATCACATAACAACTGATAAATTAGAAACCTGGGGACCATTGTTCATCTCCCTTAAATCCCAGTGAACTTGAATTCCTAACACTTATGGAAACGAGAATCTCTTCTCCCATTTTTTAAAGGCTGGAGCAAGTGTCACCATTTCCCATCTAGATTACGGAAGCAGAGTATTCCCTTCCTGACTCCAGTCTGTCCCTCTATTCCACTGTCCACTCTGCTGCCAGAGTTACCTTTTTGCATAAAAAACTGAGCACATCAAGTCCCTGTTAAAAGACACTTCGACATTTCCTCTATTTTACCTATTAGCATTTCTTCTCTTTTTAGAACCCTCTAACTATCTGATATGCCTCCTTACACCCCAGTGCTGATGGAGTGATTCCTGCTCTATAGTTATGGAGACGGCCAAACACGTGACACCTGATGCTGGCCAGATGTGACTTATTAGTCACATAACTCACAGCCCAGAGCAGGAGGAGCCCAAACACCATGAAGGACTACACAGGCTTTACCTCAGGAGCCAAGTGAACAAGGTGGAACTGTGGGAGGCAGACTCTGTAATAACTAGAAGGTGGGGTGACTCCAGGACTGAGCAGGATGACTTCAGAGTTCATCACCGTTTTTAGGTGAACAATTAAAAATTCATGAATTGTTTATTTCTAGAATTCTCTTTTAAATTTTTTGGACCACAGTTGACCATGGGTAACTAAAATCACAGAAAGTGAAACTGCAGAAAAGGGGAGACTACCGTACTAGTCATTTATATAATAGCAAATTACTTAGCCAATAGGATGGAGCCAATAATTTTAATAACATTGAGTATTGGATATGAGGGTCTTAATGGGCCCCATGGTATTAAGGTGGTTATAATGCACTATCAGGAACCATTCACTCATTTCAGGTTTAGGAACATGCCAAATTGGACTGTTAAATGAGGAAGCAGTAAGGATAATCATCTCTTTCTGCATTAAGTCATATGTAATTAGGCCTTATGGTTAAATTCCTGAAAATTATTTATCAAGAGTGAAGCAAGTTCATGCTATATTGTTTTGATTGTGACAGTTGTTTCAGAAGCTTACTCGACATGTAGCTTTGTAAGGAATTTCAATATGACTTATTTTTCCA